GAAGATGTCTCTTGGTGTTGCTGCTCTTCTTAACTTTATAGATGGTGGAAGAGGTTTGGCTTGCTTAGTGAGGTTAATCTCCTCTTTGTCCACTTGATTAAGACTAAAGTGATGAGCCCTATACCTCTGAAAATTTCAGCCATCTACTCCCTCTTTTGCTGCCCAAATCAATAACTTTTCAGCACCTCTATACTTCCTTGTCTTTCTTAACCTTGAAGGCTTGATTGGGTTCAAGCTTCCCTAGCCTCCAAAGCTTCCAAGGTTGCTTCTTCATCTCTCGTCCATGTGCTACTATTGCTGGTTCCTTCTTCTTCTTTGGAATTAGAGAATTAGTCCAATTGGGCCTTTTCAATTGCTGCCCAAAAGTTTTCTAATTTGTACGAATTGGTCGATTTTTTATTCATATTTGTAATTAAGTCCCTTTATCGCAAAAAGTCATAAAATCTAGTTATATCACCTAATTCCTAACTAAACACTATAATTACAAGTAAGAAAGAGGCAAATTAAGTAGAAATCAAATAAACTTCTATTTGTCCCTTACTAAACACTATAACTCGTATCTTACCTATTAAGGCAATGTATCTACACACCTTTTTAGACTTAAGACACATTAGTCTAATGAAAATAAAACTCGCAATACAAAGAGTTATTCTCTTAAAAGAATCTTATCATTTTCTTGAAAAAAATCTTCCTAAGTTGTCAACTCTGTCAATATCTTCTTTGTGGAGTAATCATAGCCATCCAATCTTGATGTAGCATTTATCCAATGGTTGAGAATAGACATCAAGGAATACACTTTATATTGTGAACAAACTCAAAAGCAGATAAAAGAGAATCATTCTAAATCTTATCCTTTCATGATTATGATAAGATTTAAAGGGTCTTATCTCTAAAAGATATGGAATCTTCTAAATCTTATCTTTTCACAAGTGTGATAAGATTTAAATGATCTTATCTCTAAAAGATAGAGATATCAATTCCTAAGAATTAGGAGATGAGACCGACGGCCTATCTTGTAGTGTTGGGTCGAAATATCTTTCTCCAATTGGGCCAACTTCATTTATTGATAGCAAATTAATAATTTTAGACTTGTACTCTTCAAGTTTGTCACTTTCCTTGGCCCAAGTAGTTGTCATGAGGTTACTAACTACAGTTTGTATCTTCTTGGCTCTCGAACGAGTCATTGAACCTCCGATATTGGATAATGGATCTTGAACACGAACATTAATTGGGTCTCTTTGGATTTTCACATCAAAAACTAGTAGGGTTGAGACATGCGGTGGTGCCTGGGCTGAAAAAATAGGCCAAACCCAACACAAAAAATCTCACATCAGTGCTGAGAGAGACTGGATATTAATATATAAGTACATGTGTTACTCCCCTCATTTCACAATTGGTTTTGAGGTGGAACTCCATGGGCTTTTATAAGTAATACGTCGGCAAATTAAGAGAAAGATATCAAAAGAACAACTGAGTGCAATTCTTTAAAGAATTGATGTCGAAGTAAATCGAATGGAATCATGGGATATGGAGAGTCGATATGATGATCTGAACAATGCAGGAAAGCAATTAATTGTTTACAAACAGCCAGCGGTAGTACTTTCTCTGATCAAAATGTCAGCTCATGTTGAAGCACTACCTAACTTACCGGATCAGTAGGGAGAAGATATTTCATCGAATCAAAAAGAGGAAGTGGATAATGGAAAAAAAAAAATCAGAGATAGACGAAGTTTATCATGAACGATCAGTAAACGGAAACTTATTGGATAGTTACGAACAAGATCAAAATATAGTGGGTAATAAATCTGACTTTGGAGAATATGAAAATATGAGAATGGTTTCATGTGATTAAGCAAAAAAGAAGAAGCGACCTGGTAGACCGAAAGGATCGAAGATGGGAATACGAAGTGATTTGAAAGATACTCGTCGTTTGGCGAAGCTCCAAAGAGAATTAACATCAAAAGTTTCCAATGAGCTCATATGGAATGTTCATGGATTACGGAATGACGCATCTAGATGCCAACTTTAAAATTTAGTTTTCATGCATTCTGTATCTTTAATAATAATTTTCAAGCCTATGATAGTAACGGAAGAATGGAGGAACTACGAAATAAATTTCATTTTGAGTTTGGAATAGAACACGAAATATAAGGATTTATTTCCGAAGATATTTTTACACTATTCTTATCATCACGTCCAATGATGTGTTTAGAGGCGGAGAGAAAGGGGGTCGGCCAGTGCGCCCTCCTCCGCCCCCACTAATTTTAATTTTTGAAAAGAGTTTTGAATAATTATGTTGAAAAAAATATATAATACGATTTTAATTCGCACCAGTAGCGGATCTAGAAAAAAATTGTAGTGGGAGCTGAAATACGTTGTTGGAAAATCTATCACTCTTTTTATAACTTGTTCCGTGTGATTTCATAGTCTTATAAAATCATCTTCATATTAAATTATATTAATTTTAAATCTTCCCATCCAACACAACTAAAAAAAAAAAAACTTATTCGAAAATTTGGCATCTCATTATACAAATATTTTTTTCACTATGTTCATAAGAAAAGATTCTTTCTAAAATAATCACGTCACAATGTTCTCATTTTGGACGCATATATAATTAAGGAGCATAAGTTGGTATGGTATAAAAGGAAAAATGTGTTACCGTTAAATGTTATAAATAAGATGTCTACAATTATATGATTATATTAATTGTTGAATGTAGTTTAATAATACTAATAATCAAAAATTTATATGATTTTAAAACATTATATGACTTAAACTAATTTAATTTCACTTTGGATTTGGGATTGGACTATTTTAATTAGCTCAAACAAAATTATAGGAATTATATATACAACAATTTAGCCCAAATTATATAAATATTGCAAAATTAATTAGTAAAAACTTAATTATAAGTAAATTCATACTAATAAATATTAATGATTTACGGTAGGGCCCCGCCCTATATCCGCCCCTGATCCGCACCCTCTTCGAATTAGTTTTATTGATATGTAGCTAGTATAAAACACTTTTTTGTAAATCCAAAATTTATGTTACACTTTTGTTGTACTTGTTTTGTCAATAAAAAATTTATCAAAAAATATGTACTTTATGTTCTTTTGTTTTTTTTTTTAATTTGTAAATAACCAAGAAAACGATGATAGTCACTAAGTATGTTAATAACAAAATATGGTAAGTAAAATTCACAACTAAATGAAAAAACTAAATTCACAATCTCTAAATGGGACTTTCTTTTTCTTTTCAAAAATAGACTACGTTGAGCCCCCTTTTTTTGTTTAGATTTTAGTCTCGCCAATGCTAATTGTGATAAGTTACGAGATTAAAATTTTAATTTTTTTAGCTTATTAAATTTGAATTTTATTCAAAATTATCCTATTGACTAAATAAATATTTATTCGTGAATATAATTTTTTTAACACTATAAAAATATAGGTGAAATGCAATACTAAAAACTATTATGGATTCTTTAATGGACAAAAAATAATCTAAAAGAAAATAAATAACTAAATATGAAGGATCCAAGAAAAAAAAAAAAGAGGCAAAAGGGATAGCAAAAAATTAACTTCCCCAGTCTATTCTAAATATCTTTAACAAGGTCTCTTCCAATCAAGGTAATTTTTTTGTCATTTATGTATATTGTGATTTTGATTATAAATCAATAGGTGATGTATGCTCTATAACTACTAAGTTAGTAGTACTAGGGCATTTGCTATGTTAAATTATCCAGAAGGATGACAATATACAAATGGAAATTTTCAATTTCGAAAAGGTAGGCAATAATTTAAAAAGAAAAAAATTAAAAGGCGAGAAAGGCATTAAGATTAAAATGGGTATTCAAAAATTTTCTTAATTTTTATTTTTTCAAACTTGATAATTTCTCTTAATGAAGATTAAGAAATTTATCCAAAAAATTTCGCACCTACTACATTAAATTTCTGGCTCCGCCACTGAATGTATTAGTTGTCCTCCCTAATTGTTTTCTCCCTTTTTATTTTCTTTGTTTCTTCATTGAAGCAGTGGATCATGCATGATTTGCACGATGAAAATTTGCATGAAGATCTTGAAAAACTGCAGCAAATCAATCCCGCAAAATATTAATCAAAGGAAAGATATATAGTCATCATTGATTTGGTGTTGAAACCCGACGACGATGAGTTGTGTTTGAGCACCGGACACGCATTTGATTTGCTGATGATTTGCTAATACGAGAGGTGTGGAGAGGATTGAATCCGAATGAAATAACGTTCTCAAGTTGTTTGTTTATTCAGCTGAATGAATAGTTTTATATCTTATGTGTACATCTTGCTTTGCTCCTAAATTGGCAACTGTCAACGTCAGTTACAAAATTGAATTTTTTAAACATTAATTAGCACGAAATCAAACTTGGGCGAGCTGGAACCTGTACGACGACAATTGGCACGATTAATCCATTGTATACTCAATTCAACAAAGAAGCAATGCTAATTTTCATTATTAAATTTATATACAACTAACCGTCAATTTGAAAACTTCTTTCTCGTATTTGAAAGTTCCTTTTCTAACTTTTCCTAGGGATTTTACTTCATAAGAGAAGAAACAATACTTAAGCTAGTAGCAGTGAAATGTTATGAAACGACAACTACAAGTATGTCGAGCTCGATCGTGATAGCCATATATGTCCGAAGAACACAAGTAACAAAAGTGTAACACTTCGGGGAAATTTTTAACTAGCATTTTGCATGAACTAGAGTCGGTCAGCATAGTATAATTCATAACGTTAATGTATAGGATTAAAATGTTCCTTTTTAAATGTACAGGGCAAAAGTTTGTATTTACCCAAATATAGATATAAGATTTTAAATTGAGGTTTAGTGACCATTTGCATTTTTCTTTCTTTCTTTTTTTTTATTAGTTTGCTCACTTTCTGCTCTATATATAAGGTTCACCAGCATAGTTTGCGTAGATGAGATGAGATGCATGCAATAATGGTACGACATCGGATAAATAAATATATTAATATTAACTGTCACTTGGTATTTTTTTACGAAAAGCAAACATGAGACCAGAAATCAAGTTAAAGATTAAGTTTCGTGATATATTGCCGTAGAAACAACAAATGTTTTATGGTGAGGCTTAATTCTCAGGCATTCTCTCGTCGGAGCATTGGCGTAAAACACAAGCATTTATCTAGCTACATTATTAATTGTAAAAGCATTCTAATATTCTCAATATTCAATTTTGATGACAGCAATGACAACATTGATTCAATCCTTTCTTTTTCAACTTCTTCTCCCACATGACCAATTAAACTGCCTTGGGCCTGTATAAGTAAACTGGTCTTCCATGTTTCCATTGAGTTGGCCTTGCATTTTCTTCAAATCCCTGAGTATGGAGGAGATCCAAAAAAATCATGAGTTGAATTTAGTACACATTTCGTGACAGTAACTTTAATTTGTGATGGAACATCTGTTGAGAAGTTAGTTCTAATTATTACACAGGCCAATATCAATACTCTTATAATTTTTAAGTGTTTTGAAATTAATAATTCTGTGAATGATATGATACATTAATGGAAAATTTTGATCAAAAAGAAAAACTATGTTATTAGAGAAGAAACTGAATCGATGGAGGTGATTATTTGTGCTCATGCAATACTCAATTACTCACTTCACTCAACAAATTCACCATCATGTGGAAAGATGTAATTATTCTTCATTATATTATGTGCTGAAAATGTGATTAATTAATTGAATTATCTTTTTATGCCCCAAAGAAACATTTCACTATGTTTTACGACTCAAAAGGATAACTTATCGATCACACTTAAATTTGGTGAGATGATGAGCTTTACTTACATCGTGCACAGCTTCCCTCAATGCATGTATTTGCTCCTTGGAGACTGTCCTCACCTGTTATACATAGAGATTATAAACATGTGAATAGAGTGGATATAAATTTGTCAATGTATGATATTTCTTCTGTTTCATTTTAACTGTCCAGTTTGTTATATTTCTTGTGTTCCAAAAAAACAAAGTCATATTAAATTTTGAGATTTATGGTAAATCTTTCACTACTCAATTTGGATTTTTTCTTAAAGAACAGAGGCGGTATTATTTTTATACAAAAAATAGACCATATAAATTAGTCGCGAATGAGGATAATAATTTTTTTTTCCTATTTTTCTATTGTTAGGAAGTCTTGAATTATAGATCTAACCTTCTTTAGAATGGTCCAAATAACACCCTCGGTGCATGGTGGAACGGTAAGGGAGCCAAGGTATCTGTAATACTTTCTACTTCCAAATTTGATGTCCTTTGGGTCAATTTCCCCCAAATCAATTTCTCCAATGGCTCCAACTGCTTTGATATGGTGCAAAATCTGGTTGACAATAAAAAGATGCACCAAATCAATCCCAGATTAGTGCAAAAGGAAAATGGGAAACGGCAGCTATTTAATAATGAAGTAAAGAAAATACAATTGTAGTTGTTCCGTCCCATCTTAATATTCCACTTATACTGTGTATACTTATAAATTGTAAATTGAACTAAAAATAATACAATTCAAAAATTATAATGTGACTTTTTTTTCCTTAGGATAGAGTTAGTATTACTTTTCAGTTCACCAAAATAGAACATTAAAACGAGTTTGAATTTCTGTGACCTGGTCAATGAAAGTATCTGGACGACCAAGCTTGTACAGGATACCAATCACAGCTATTCCTCCTTCAGAATTTTGGTGCACGATATGGAGCTCCTGCTTGTATCTGACACCCAAAAAGGTTATGGTTGAAGAAATGGAGTTTAACAGTTTTACCGGCTGTTGAAACATACAATTACACTAGAATGAGCAATTTTTCCCTACGTACAATTTTACAATATAATAAAATGGATTAGGAAGAAAGTGAGAGAGAAAGAGTTCTAGCACTCCAAGAATGATGTGAAGCATTAGTAACCATTCTATTGACCAATTTATAATATCACCTTGAGTCATCTCATAGAGAAATTGAGCAAAGAGTATCAATATTAGCTACAAATTAATTATTTTTATTAATTAAGGCCTCCAAATTTTGCTGTTGAACTTTGATGTATATAATAAGAATTATAACATTTCTTATTCTTTTTCTTTCTCGCAAGAAATGTAGTGCTCTGCTTATTCATTTGGCCCCCTTTATTCTTGATTTGGTTCTTTTGCTTGTGAACTCATTTAATTATGTCAACTATTTGAAAGCTTTTGCCAAATGTGAGTTTGTCTTGACATTTACAAAAGCATCCAAAGAGTTGATTAAAATGAGCTCGCGTGCTCATGAGAGGGATGCGAGTAAAAAGGGGCGTCGGGGAGGTAAAAGAATACAAAACAAAGAAAGAATAATTACATTGAGGAAAGAATCAAATGAGAAACCTAGTTAATTAGAGGAATGGAATATTAATATTGATATCTTCAGTAATCAAAAATCCATTGTAGGGGATTAAATCATGAATGGAGACAAACCTTGTGTTATTCAAAGTGTGTTCAGAAGGAGAATGCCAGTGGCATTGCTTCAGTTCGTAGTCTGTATTGTTTATAACCAATTTCCCTGCATCTCCTTTCCACTCCACCTAATTAAGGTCAATGAAATAAACACAATTGTAAGATTAACAGAACCTAATAATTAAAAAGGAGAACCCAACACAAACTTCAATAAAATGTTTGATTTCATATCTCTCGACTAGCTGATATTATTTTTGGGACAGAAAAAATATAATTCCATCAACCATATATAAAAGCAAACACAGGAATTATATAGGGCTGTCATTCAATTCATCCTTTATAATTCCTAGTGTAACGGATGAATAAAATTTCTTCTAACATATCAAACGACTGTAAAGGGCCCATATCCCCCTTGGAGGATTTTTTTAGTGATCTTAATTTTCTTTATATATTTGAACAATAAACAATGAATTATGAAAATAGATAGCCAGTGTCTAATTGGATTCCTTAATTCAAAAAAAAAAAACCTAGAAATATACTTACAGCGATGTCGTGTCCCCTATTTTTCAAGATAGCAGGAGCAGGCTTGTAACCACGTTTCAATTTCCCTAAAGTTGGGAAGATTTGAACCCTCTCGTTGAGAAGATCGATGGGAGACTGCAATTTCCCATTGCCACAAGCTTTCCATGTTGAATTAAGTCTTCCCCAATTCTTTGGTCCTTTACCATTCAACTCTTTATATGTGAAATGACTCTCATCCTCTTTTAATTTTTCAGCACCAAAAGAAGAAGAAGAAGAAGAGCCAAATCAACAATGGAATATTTCAAAATAAATTCCACAAATTAACTCTGCATTTTGGAATTAGTGGTGTTGCCATTTTCTCGCTCATTTACATTTTTCAGTTAATTGACAATGTCCTTTATAAGTAGTTTTTGTTTTGGGGGAAAATTTGTAAATATGTATGATTGATGACTCGTCATATAACCAATTTCACATAATTATAAGGTAAATATTTAATTATGATAGTTGAGATTATTTTCATAGAAAATGCAAAACCGTGAAATCAAAGTAGCACCATGAACATGGCGGATTTTATTTAATTTATTAGAAACTGAAAGATGAATAACGAACAAAATCGAAAAAAAGAAATTAATCTGAGCAAAACAAAATAAAGAACTATAATTTGTTATTCTTCTTCTTCTTATATTCCCGAAAAAAGAATCGAGAAGTAATATCGTCCTTTAATATTTTGTTATTATTATATGTAATCAAAAGAACCATATGAATAAGCACATATATCACGTTCAAACTAATCCTTTCTGTACTGAATAGGAAAAAAAAAATTGTGTGGGGGTGGGGGATGTGAGATCAGAAAGGCCCTCTTAGGTAATAAGAATGAAGAAACCATCCATCAGATAAATAGTTATAATCCCAATTTGCCCAAAATCTAACAAGACAATTTCATTATTTCCATTTCCCAGCAACCCGAACATGAAAATTAATGGTAAACAAAACATGTTCCAAAACCTCATTTCGAGATCGAAACGGAAAGATTAAGGTACGTACCAACTTCATTCTCTACGGGACTCGCAAAGGTGGTCGGAAGAGATATTGATAAAAACAGGAGAAATGTGAAGATGAATGTGAAGACAAATTTCATGTAACTTTTCGAATGAATTTCCATCATGCCCTGTAAATAATCCGTATGTGACTCTCTGTGTTTTGGTACAATAGAAATTTGTTCCAGAGCCACAGGAGGCAAAATGCCTGAACGACTAATTAGGAAGAAATTAATTATGTTAAATGGATAGGGCCTTTATTATTTATAATAAAGATACGATAATGATGATGATGATGATGACCGGTGGAAATGAAGAAATACAGAACGGATGGAGATGTATTTAGTAAAATATAATTTATTTATTTTTGTTATAATAATAATAATAAAAAAAAACTAATGTGCGTTGTAGAATCCCCCAAAGTTATATGATGTGAAGGTGTTCTTCCAGATAGAATATTTAGGACATGATTTTATTAAGTGTTGATGTTCCATTCTTCATCCGGAGGTCAAAGAACAAGTCTCTTTGTTAATTGAATACTTTACAACGACCAAATACTTTATATATTATCTGTAATTTCTGTTGTTCTTTTTTTTTTCTTGTGTGGTTCGTTAAATAAGGAAGTTATATCATCCAACTAAAAGATAATTATTAAATTAATAGTAAATCTGTACAGGCTTTAAAGTAAGAAATTAACATTACAATTCAGTCTTAATTGAGAAGGAAATCTCATTCATTCTCTTAAACAAATTTGCAAACTGTTCTCTCTGTCATAAAGTAAAAAACGATGAACAAATCAACTTCTTTTTGGGGACAAAAAACAAAAGGAATACTTCAGAAACTATCAATTGATTAATTTAATTATTCCTTAAATTTTAATGTTAGCATGGAACTCAACGAGTCAAAGTGTGATTAACGTAATCCTCAACATGTGACAGGCAAAAGAAAAGAGAGATTGAAAAAGAAAGAAAAGAAAAATGCCTCCATGCATGCATGATCGAACTTCAATTTAAAAGACCTCCAGTGTACAATTCCTTTCTATACTTTTTTGCTAAATTAATTTTCTAATAAAATGCAGAAGTGCGTATGTTCTTAGTTAATTTGGAAAAATGTTAGATATGAAAATTTGGTCTATCGTTTTGTTAATAAAAACTTATAGAATTTAACAAATCATACAAACAATGAGACAAATATTGCTCATACAAATTAGCAATACATTTACTAGCATGGCAAATAGAATACTAACAAATTATTTTTAGTTAAATGTAAGACAGTATTTATATGGTGACTGATGAATATGTCCTGATTGTATTAATTAAAAAGTGCGTATGTTCTTAGTTAATTTGGAAAAATGTTAGATATAAAAATTTGGTCTATCGTTTTGTTAATAAAAACTTATAGAATTTAACAAATCATACAAACAATGAGACAAATATTGCTCATACAAATTAGCAATACATTTACTAACATGGCAAATAGAATACTAACAAATTATTTTTAGTTAAATGTAGGACAGTATTTATATGGTGACTGATGAATATGTCCTGATTGTATTAATTAAAAATAAGTATAGAAGATAGTATTTAAGATTTATCCAAAAAGATAGATTGTCATTACAAATTTCTCTAAACAACAAAAAAGCATAATAAACACTAAAAACCAATTAATTAAAAATTATGCAAAAACTAACTTTTGATTATAATTTTTTTATAATTTTTTAATTAAACTGACTTTTAACCGATAGATTATAACGGTTTGAACCGTCAGGTTTACAGTTTTTCAAATACTTGAACCGTGACAGGCCTTTAATTAAACGGTCCGAATACGATTTTACAAAATGTCATCTACAGTTACGGGTTTGTTATGGTATAGTTCCGATTAAAACTATGATCATGCATCTTGAATCTCAAATACAGGTTCACATGTTGTTCTACCTCAAAACCAATTAGTGATGAGGGGAGCAGACATGTGATTATATATTGGTTTCGAGTGTCTCCATCTATCCATGTAGGATAAGGTTATATTCTCAATACCCCTTCTTAATGCCAAAGGGGTCGGATAAACTGAATAAACTACCGGATCAGTAAAGATTCAGATAGAAGGCCCATATTGGGGTAAGTAGAAGAACTAAAAATAGAAGGCCCGAATTTGGGTAAGTAAAAGTAGAAGAAAGCCCAAACGGATAAGGAAATCAGACCTCGAATATACTGCCGCAACAGCCAAAGCCCGCCTACAAGTCTCACAGGTCCGCGGATAAAATCAGCTCTGATACAATCTTGAAGCCAAAATATAGGCCCACATGTGGTTCTATCTCAAAACTAATTCAGAAATTTTAATTGTAAAAGAGTAATTTAAAATAAAAAATTATCTCTAATTAATTTACCTACATCCGATCACTACCCAATTATGTTTAGTTCCAATACAGATCCACATTAAACACACTTACGCTATATTTATAATCAATTAAATCTGAAGTCTAAACACTAACACTTAAAAATGAAATCTGAATTTTGAAGATTAAATTCATATTGTTTGATAAAAATGTTTGATTTAAAGTTTCAAGACTAATCTAAATACTTATGAGATATATGTGGATGTTTATTTAACTTAACTATGATTAGCATCATAATTATAAATAAATATTTTTGATAAAACATAATTAATATGTTTTCATAAATAAAAATAATAAGTTTAAAATTTTGGTTGTATATTTTGAAATTAATACTCTAGCAATGCATAAAATTTATGAATGTTATTTCGGGACCATTACAGAATAGAAAAAATAAATAAAAAATAATAAATGTTCGAAAAACAAAACTTGTGCTATATAAATTTTAGATCTTGTCAAGATCATAACTAATAACTAAATTATAAATTACACTACTACAAACAGTAATGTTTTGATCCTCTTCCACATGACTAATTAAACTGCTTGGGGGCTGTAGAGGTAAACTTGTCTTCCATGCTTCCACTGAGTTGGCCTAACATTATATTCAAATTCCTGAATACGGAGGAGATCCATTAAATCATAAATCAATTCACTGCACATTTTGTAATTATAAACATGTGTTGACAAATTCGTTCTAACTGTTTCATAGATCAGTCTCAATACAGAGCCTGAATTTGTACATGTATCAAAATGATACAGTGAATGGTATATGCTATTAAAAAAACAAGACAACATTATCACAAATGAAACATATAATTATAGTGGTGATAATATGTTTTAATTTTTGAGTCGCTTGGACAAATTCACTCTACAAATTTTCATATCGGTATTACTATATCAATACTCACTTAAAAAAGATAACTAATTTAGAGTAATAAAGAATAAAAATGATGGAGACACGATTTTTTTTTGATACGATGTGTGGATGATGTAATTAATTATTCTTCGTTTAGAACTCAACCTATTCATTTCACAATCTATAACAACTCGAAAGCAGAACTTATCGACTACACTTCAATTGGTGAGATTAGCAGAAATTGTACTTACGTCGTGCACAGCTTCCCTCAACGCAAGTATTTGCTCCTTCGAGGCTGTCCTAGCCTATACGTAGAGATAATAAACAAGTCAATAGTAATTAGTTAAATATTTCAATCTTTCCATCTTATTTTAATAAATAATCTACAGCAATGTGTGTTTTAATCAATATAAGCGTATTACTAAATAGGGATAGAAAGAATTTTTCTTTTTTGTTATTAAATATTTGAATCGATTTTTAACCTCCTTTAGAATGGTCCAAATAACACCCTCGGTACATGGTGGAATAGTAAGGGAGCCAACGTATCTGTAGTACTCTGATCTACTTTGAAATTTGATGTCCGCTGGGTTAATCTCCCCCAAATCAAGCGATCCTACGGTTTTTACTGATTTGATATGGTCCAAAATCTGGTTGGCAGAAAGTAAAATCGATGACTCCCGGGTCAGTGTAAAACGAAAAATAAAAAATAAAAAAAAAATGCGCTCTCTTGAATACAGAATTGAGGAAAATAGTCTTTTTTTTCTGTCTCAGTTTTAATATATAATAATTCATTTTGTATAATAATTAAATTTATAAATTAAAATTATTAAAGTGAGACGAAAAGAATAACAATTTGAAATGAAGTTTCAAATCAATCACCTGCTCAATGAAAGCATCAGGGCTACCGAGTTTGTACATAATTCCGAGTGAACAAATATTACTATAGTTGCTATAATAATTAACGATTTCCCAACGTAATATTTTACAGCACTATCTCTCTGCGTTAAAAGAATAATATAAATGTCAAAATTTAATGTGAATTATTTTTTTAGAAAGAAATAAAATAAATTAAATTGTTAAAACAATGATGAAAAGATATACTACTATGAGAATGATGTAAAACAAAAAGTAATTTAAAATTTTTATTTATTTGTGCTACATCATTTTCCAAGCCACCGTCTCGCCGTGTTTGGAACCTCTTGTTTCACTAGGTTTTCTATTTCCTCCAGTTTTTTTTTAATGAATTTTTTTTTTTAACTAATATAACATTCTCTATCCCAATAAACTTTTATATTCCTAACCCATTTTTTACATTCTCCATATAAAAACACACTTCACTACAGAGACAAACAATATCAACCATGAATCCAAAGTGCATTATAGAAGATCAAATAAGCAATGCAACTCAAACCTTGTCTCATTGAAAGTGTGTTCAGAAGGAGAATGCTAGTGACATTGCTTCAATTTGTACTCTGTATTGTTTATGACCAATGGCCCTGCATCTCCTTGCCACTCCACCTAATTAAAGTATAATGGACAAACAAAAAAGGGATAAAAACAAACTTCAAAATCTTGGTTTAATATCCTGCAACTATTTATTTATTGTTTAGGACCGAAGAAATATAATTGTTTCATCATCCAAATTAAGAACAAATACATAAAATTTCTTGTATCATATCAAAAGACTTCAATTGCCCCTCTTTTTTCTTAATTAATCAAGGATGACTATATTCTTGACCATAAGTATTGTAGTGATCGGTTCTATATTTGAAAATATATACGGAAACAGAAAATAATAAATCAATAAATTGCTTACGGCAATATCATGTCCCCTATTTTTCAACACGGCAAGAGCTGGTTTATACGAATGGTTCAATTCCCCTAAATTTGGTGAGATTTCAACCCTCTCGATGAGAAGATCAATGGGAGACTGCAATTTCCCATCGCCACAAGCTTTCCATGATGAATTAAG